GCTTCTTGGCGGCGTTGATGTTGGTGCAGCGCAGCACGCGGCCCTGCCCGTCACAGATGTCCCCGTTTGCGTGCTTCTTCAGGTGGTACTCCAGGCCAGGCACAGAACGAAACGTTTTGTTGCAGCGGTCAATGGGGCACACGAGCGGCGCGTTTCGATTCGCGTTGTGCACAGTGCGGATGTGGTAGTAGAAGCCGGCGCTGCTGGAAAACACCTTGTCGCACGACGGGTTGGGGCATGCGCGTGGGTAGCGGCCCTTGTGACCGGCGCCCTTCCCATCCTCATCGCCATGTCCCGTGCTCAGCATTAGTTCTTCCTGTGCGTCGCCGTCATCGTGCTGCTCAGACTCTGCCTGCGAGTGCTCCTCAGCCTTGACGTTGCGGCCCGCTCGTCGCTCCTGCTGTTGTTGTTTGGCTTGCTGTTGTTTGTCCCGCTGCTTCTGCCGTTTCGCCTTCTTCGCGCCACGCTGCCCGTGCTCCTGCTGCTGCTGCTGTTGCTGTTGCTTCCGCTGCTGCAACAACAGCTGGTGCTGTTGATGTTGTCGCTGCTGATGCTGAAACTGCTGTTGGTACTGTTGGTGCTGCAGCATTGTCTGTTCTTGCTGCTGGCGAAGTGCTCGCTGGCCTCTCGCCGGCTGCAACTGCATCTGCATCTGCACACGCGCGTGTTGGTGCGCTGCGCGTCGTGGCAGGGTGCGAACGGGCCCACCAAACGACTGCTGCTGCTGTGAATACGCCGGCGATTGGCGCTGTTGCGTGTACTGCCGCTGTGCGTGTGCGCGTCCGTTTGCTTCTGGGATCGCAGATGCTGACGACGACGGGAAACCGGTCCGCCGCGCCTGAACCCGCGGTGACCGCCGCACAGGCTGCACAGGCTGCTGCTGCTGCTGCTGATGCTGCTGGTGGTGGTGGTGGTTCTGTTGCTGGTGGTTGTGTTGCGCGGCTCTGCGGGTCATGTAGCGTGGCTGGCTGGTCATGTGTGCAACGGCGCCAACAGTGGTGATGCTACCGCGACGCCGCTGCTGTCGTCGCCGCGTTCGGCGCCGCGATCCTGGGCCCTCCCCATACTGCTGCTGCTGCTGATGTTGTTGTTGTTGTTGTTGTTGTTGTTGTTGTTGTTGTTGTTGTTGTTGTTGTTGTTGTTGTTGTTGTTGTTGTTGTTGTTGTTGTTGTTGTTGTTGTTGTTGTTGAAGATGCTGTGGTGGTGGTGGTGGTGGCGGCGGCAGTTGCTGCTGCTGGGTGTAATGCTCGCTCGATACAGCGAATGCCTCTGGCAGCGGCGCTGCTGATGACGGCGATGACGATGATGCCGCTGGGGCGGACGGCAGCAACGTGTGGTCGCGTGGCAGCAGGTCGCGCAGGACCGCCGTAAAGTTTGTTGGGCCCGTCGCTGCGGAGGTGTTCCCGTGTGCAGACTGCGACGGCAGAAACCACTGCGCTTGCTCCTCGTGGTGCTGCTGGTGCATAAACGGCGGCTGCGAGTGCGAGTGTGGCCCAAGGACAGCGGAGTGGCGCGACTGCAGCACAGCGTCCTGTGCAGAGCTGAGCGACGTGGGGTGGTGCAGCGGCGGCGGTGACGCCAGGCCGAGGATGGAGGCAGAGGCACGGCGTGGCCGGTGGTTGTGCTGGAAGCGGTGCACATATGGCGACGGCTGCGGGGTGGTGCGCTGGGGCGTGACAGCCTGTGGCGTTGCAGCAGACGAGTGGGTTGCGTACACCTGCCCTTGCTGCTGCTGCTGCTGCCCCTGCTGCTGTTGATATTGTTGTTGTTCTTGGGATAGTGCATCGTCAAACGCCGCCATGGAGTTGTGTGCAGACTCCAAAATCTCGTGAACCATCTTCATGGTTTCGTTGTGCTCCTGCACTGCTGCTGCAGAAACAGCGGCTACACTGCCATCTGGCATCGGCAACAGGTCTTGTTGTTGTTGTTGTTGTTGTTGTTGTTGTTGTTGTTGTTGTTGTTGTTGTTGTTGTTGTTGTTGTTGTTGTTGTTGTTGTTGTTGTTGTTGTTGTTGCTGCTGCTGCTGCTCGTTGGTCGGTGGCGCCGGCAGCGGCAGCGGCCTGTCCTTGGATCGTGGCGAGACAAGGGCCTCCAGCATCATATCCACCGCTGCTGCAGATGTCGCTGCCTGCGTGTAGGCCGACGACGACGGCTCGTGTCCCGGCGCCGCCCACGCCACATCCGCCCCGTGGTGCTGCACGTGCACTGATGCGACACTGCCGCTGCCCGCACCTCCAACCTGCTCGTGCTGCTGCTGCTGCTGCGGCTGCCCCGGTTGTGCTGAGTCAGCAGAAACAGTTGCTGGCGGTAACGATGTGCTGGTGGATGATGCTGCTGAGAACAAGGACGACTGCGGTGGTAACAAGTGGACGCCTTCCGACACGGGCGCTGCGGAGGACTGTCTTGCTGGCATGAGAGGCGATGGTGGCTGGAGAAATGAGAGAGAAGCAGAGGATGACGAAGGCACAGGCTGCTCACCCGCGACAGGCGGGGCCGTTGACACCAGCGGCAGCGGCGATTGCGGTAACAACAGGGATGACGGTGGTGCTGCTGACGACAGTGGCTGCTGCTGCTGCTGCTGCTGCTGTTGTTGTTGGTGGTGTTGTTGGTGGTGGTGTTGGTGGTGTGCGGGGTCGGCGGCAGAGGCGAGAGGCTGCTCCTGCGATGAAATGGAGATGAGCGGAGCGGTGGATGAGGCTGACGACGCAACAGCGAGCGCGGGCGAAACGGCGGGGAGTTCAAGCGGGGACAGCGGCACTTCCGTCTGGTGCTGCGGCGATTGCTGGTACGATTGAGGTGACTGCTGGTAGGACTGTTGCTGCTGCTGCTGCTGTTGCTGCTGCTGCTGCTGCTGCTGCTGTGACACGACACCGGTGTTGCTGCCGGGGGTTGTGCCCATACCGCTGCTGCTGTTGCTCGGGTGGCGCTTGCTCGCATAGCTGCCTGCCTCGCTCCCCACCCCACTTGCCTGCTCAACCGCATACGGCGATGCAGTGCCGGTAGCCGCCTGCCCCTGTACAGGCGTGTGTGTCCGCGGCGTGTGGGCGCGCGGGGTTGTACTTTGCGGCGTGTGCGCCTGCGGTGTGTGCGCCTGCGGTGTGTGCGCCTGCGGTGTGTGCGCCTGCGGCGTGTGTGCCTGTGCGTGAGCATCGCCCACAGCGCTCGGGGCGGACGTGGCTGTTGTGGACAGGGCCGAAAGCGGCGCCGATGAGAGGGGGGACGGTGACGCCTGCATGGGTGTGGGTGGGTGCTGCTGTGCCTGTGGCGCAGCTTGGTGTGGAGATAAATGCTCCTGCTGCTGTTGTTGTGGTTGCTGCTGTGGGTGTGGTTGTTGTTGTGGTTGCTGCTGAAAGGATGGCGACGATAGAGACAGGTCGGGCACGAGAGCATCCGATGGTGCAGCAGGTGCGCTGAATCCTGGCTGCACTGGCATGGGACCAGGGGACGTGACATCAAACAGGGAGGAGGCGGATGGCTGCCGAGCAAGAGGTGACTGGGACCCTTGATGCGACGGCTGGTCAAGCAATGCGTGCTGCGTGAGCAAGTCTGTTGGCTGAACAGCGGCGCTGGTGGCAGGCACGTGCTGAGACGATGCCTGCTGCCACATGTCTGGGCTGTGGAGCATCGGTTGTGCAGGCAGCTCCTCCTCTGCACCGGCTTGCGCGCTTTGCGCATAGGGCTGTCCTGGTTCTTGTTCTTGCTGCGTGTAGTCTTGGAACACCTGGCCCTGCTGGTGCTGATCATACTGCTGGTGCTGGTGCTGGTGCTGCTGTTGGTGCTGGTCATACTGCTGCTGCTGGCGCTGCAGGCCATTGCCAGCGGGTATCGTTGCTGCCAGCGCTTGGCTGCCGGGCTGGGATGACGAAGGTAACGGTGTCTCTGTTTGTGTCACCTCCAGCGGCACCACCATGATGTCGTTGAAGGCGAGATCACAACAAAGCCAGGCCATCGCGAGCTGTATGCAGGCGGCTATCGAAGCGGCAGCGTGTGAAGATATGGACGTGCGTGTGCATGTGCATATGCATGTGTTTGTGTGCATGGTGGTAAGTGTGTGAGCAGGTGTGGGTGCCTTTGAAGGAAGCAGGGGCAGTAAGAGACGAACGACTGGGCGAAGCAAACTGTAATGCAAGTGCTATGGGAATGTGGCAGCCATAATCGGGACAGCGTTGGTTTGGGGTATGCAGGGCAGAGTGACACGTTAAGTGTTGGCGACAAGCCGACGGCTGCCAGTGGGCCTGCGCACGCCACACGTACCGGGAGCTTGAGGTGTGGATGTGCGAGAGGCGGCGGCGCTGCCCAATAATGATCTCCACCGAGGCCATCAACTGTGTGGACAGAGAGATAACCAAGACAGCCTGCACGAGTGGCGACGATGGGTGTGTTTGCGGTTGTAGGTGGGTTGGGGAATCATCAAGTTGCGGTGTTGTGCACAGGAAAATGTGAGTGAGGGGGTGAGTGAGGGGGTGTTGCTCGGATTGCAAAGCTTGGGAGTGTGAAGGGTCTGTGGACGGCGCTGGTGGTGTTGTGTCTGCGTTGTGTGTGTGTGTGTGTGTGTGTGTGTGTGTGTGTGTGTGTGTGTGTGTGTGTCTGCGTTGTGTGTGTGTGTGTGTGTGTGTGTGTGTGTGCTGTGTTGTGTTGTGCTTCTGGTGCAGTTGAAGCAACGGAACTGCAGCTGACAACATGCACGGACACACATGCGCGCTTGTCAAAGCACCAGCACACACCCACAACGAAAACAGGTGTGCACAGCCCAAACCAACCCTGAGAGAAAGAAGAAGAGGTGTGGTTCAACAGGTCAAACGACGAGTGGGAACAAATGGAGAGGAAGGGGATCAATGGCCACGGAACCACAACCACCACAACCACAACCGCTGCTGCAATATGGATCGCACGTCGGCGGCAGAAACAGCACAAGGCGGTGGAATCAAATCAGTGATGGGAAATGTTGGGGTTGCTGGCTTGGGGGGTTTGTTGGTGGCCGCGCGAAATAATAACTAACGGCTTGCAGCAAAAGCAACACAGCGACGTTTTACGTGCGCCCGGTGATTGTGTGTTTGGTGTTTGTGCCTTTGTGTGTTTGATGTTGTGTTCACATAAGTCGGTTCAGCTGTGATGATTGACAGTCTTGTGTGTAGTGAGTACCCCCACCGGAATGAGAGTGAGTGGTGATGACGACGGAGCTGCCGTGTCCACCCAAGGCACCAAGGGTAACAAGAAGGTGGGGGGGTGGGTGGATGGATGGCTGGCTGGCTGGCTGGGCCTGCAGGCGTGGACGTGCGCGTGGTGCGTGCGTCTCTGATTGACTGACCGCCTGTGTGGGAGAGATGGATACAGAGACAAGAGGAAGGGAGAAACAAGGAATGCCGCAGAAGCAGAAGGGCTGGCGGTTGGCGTTGTCGTAATTTATGGTGTCGGTCACCGTTTTTCACTGGGGCTGTGTGTGTGTGTGTGTGTGTGTGTGTGTGTGTGTGTGTGTGTGTGTGTGTGTGTGTGTGTGTGTGTGTGTGTGTGTGTGTGTGTGTCTGTGTATGTGTGTGTGTGTCTGTGTCTGTGTCTGTGTCTGTGTCTGTGTCTGTGTCTGTGTCTGTGTCTGTGTCTGTGTCTGTGTCTGTCTGTCTGTCTGTCTGTCTGTCTGTCTCTATGTTTGTGTGTGTGTGTGTGTGTAATAATCCAGCAACACGGAGCAAGGGCACGCCATGAGCCATTGTTAAACTGCTGCTTTTGTTATTTGTTTTTTGCTGTTGATTGGGTGGGTGATTGGAGAAGGCCAGATTGTAAGGCCTGTCTGTTACTAGCACACACAATGTCAGCACCAACACACCTCACATTGCATTGCAGGCACATTAAAAAAGCGGTCTGAACATACGCACACACACAAAAACATACGCGTACGCACACACAAAAACAAACACACATACATACACATACACAAGCAAACAAATACACAAACAAGCGCACACGTGTGTCACGTCACAGTGACCCGCGCAGCTGCGAGCACACATGGAAAAGTGGATTAAGAAGCACCAAAGGGCGAGACGGACAACAAAACGCACATAAACAACTGTTGGGGAGAACCAGGAAGGAAAGAAGAAGACGCCGAGGAAGGGGGAGGAAGGAATAAAACCGACATCTCTGGGCTAGAGAGGAGAGCCTCCTCCGCTGTGTAACATACCATAACCACGACGTGACGTGCTCAATGCAACAAGGACAGGCACGCATTCATAGTGACACGCTTCATCGCCGCAAAGATATCTTGGCGTGGCCCGGTAACACGCACCACGCACACCATGCATGAATGCATGCAAGCGAGAGAGAGAGAGAAAGACATGTGAATGCAATGTGCTGAGTGTATCGTGTTTCTGAGGGCTGACACGCAAGCCAAAACAACAACACCGACAGAAAAAGGGGAGCGGCTCATTCAAGACCAAAGCCCTCAGTCTCCTCGATGGCCATTGTAAGTTTCGTCTTCATATCCGCCTTTGACTTGTACGGCGGCAGATCAAGCCGGTTGAAGCTGGAGTGTGCGTGTGTGTGTGAGCGAGCGAGTGTGTGTGTGTGTGTGTGAGCGAGCGAGTGTGTGTGTGTGTGTGTGTGTGTGTGTGTGTGTGTGTGTGTGTGAGCGAGTGAGCGAGTGAGTGTGTATGTGTGTGTGTGTTGTAGGGCGGGTGAACGTTGGGAAGGAGGAGAGACAAGGTGGCAAACGCGAAAGCAACAGCAACATTTCAACACACACACACACACGAACACACACGCATGCACACGTATGCATTCGCACCAAGTGTGGCTGCGGGGAAGCGAATCTGCGCTGCCGTATTTGTCAATGCAGAACTTCTGCGGCCCATTGCTGCCCTGCAAGTCAGCAAATCCACCGACAGGGAGGCGGCAGCTGCCCGTCACAAACTGCAGCAGTCGCGCACGCTGCTCGTTGTCAAACTCGCGAACAATCTCCCAGAACCAGGTGATCTGCTTGCTGCGGCGGTCGTAGTTGCGGTAAATCGTGTGCGTCTCCCACTCTGCCACGTCAAACTCGGCCATGCCAATCAGCAGCAGCTGCAATTCACGCGTCGTGTGTGTGTGTGTGTGTGTGTGAGTGAGAGAGAGTTGGGGTGAGAATAAATCCGGACGTTGAAAGCAATGCACACTCTGTCACTTACACACACACACAACAGCTAATTCACATCAAACACACACTAACGTGCACACCGCTCCACGACTGTGTGTGTGTGTGTGTGTGTGTGTGTGTGCACCTCGAGTTCGCGCTCGTCAAAGGCGACGAGGGCCTCAGCGGGGATGACTTCGTGGAAGCCCTTCAGAAACGCCGTCGTCTGCTCCTGGATCCCGCGCGACAGCCGCCACTGCGCCACCAGCCTGGGCCGCGGCCATGGTATGGTGTGGTGTGGTGTGGTGTGGTGTGGTGTGTGTGGTGTGGTGTGGTGTGTGTGGTGTGTGTGGTGTGGTGTGTGTGATGTGGTGTGAGTGGTGTGGTGTGTGATGTGTGTG